GGTCAGAGGGACATAAAGGACAGTTTTTGCTCCTTGCCTTCCTAGGGGACTATGAGCATCTCTCAAAATGTCCTGTAATTGTGGTGGGACACCTGTCCTCTTGATCAAGGAGGCCGAGGAGACCCCACAAGATGGACTCGAACCAGTGTCCGGTCTACAAAGAAGAGGGTCAACACAGAAGAATAATTTCCTCCATGCTTCCAAGCGAAGCCAGCCATGGTCAAGCAGGACCTTTGACTTATCTTCACATAGATGGAACTGGTAAAAGAAAGGAACTAGGGGCTCCTCCCAAGCCCATGTGACTCCTGAGGAACAAATCCTCAAATGGCCTTGAGAGTAAAAATAAATTGGTTTATTTGGGACAACTGTATGGTCTTAAACACCCAAAAGGAAAGTATAGCCAAAGAGTATAGTCATCAGTATATTTCTTTAAGAGTTCAAGGGATTACACTTCCCAGACATTAGGATTAAGTCTATATAAAAAGTTATTCAGACAATTATTTCTCATTGATGATTTAGTTCCTAACCAGAAGGTGCTGCTCAGATGTAAGGCTTGCAGGAAGGGATAAGGTATTGGAAATTGAGCTGATAACTGACCACATATACATGATTAAATCTCTGCAAAATCCCTAAAGTGCAGTTTCCAGAGTTCCGGGGTTGGGGAACACATTCGCATGCGGGGCAGGTTGTGCACCCTATCTCCACAGAAACAGCAGGTCCTGTGCTCCGGTGCCCTTCTAGATCTTATTCTCTGTATCTTTTTCTCTGGTTGTTCATCTGTATACTTTATCACAGCATTGATAATAAAACAGAAAATATAAGAGGTGTCCTTATTCCTGTGAGCTATAAAAGCAAATTGTTAAGCCTGGGAAAACTCTGGTATGTAACCAAGTTGGACAGAATTGTAGTAACCTGGTGACTCACTGTTTGTAATTGGCTTCTGAAATGGAGGCAGTCTTGGACTTAATCCTTACCCTGTCAGGTCTACACTACCTATAGGTAGTCAGGTGTCAGAAATCAGATGAGAGCCAGGCATGGTGGTGCAGGCCTTTAATCCCAGCACTTGGGAGGCAGACATAGGCAGATCTCTGTGAGTTCAAGGCCAGCTCCCTGTAGCCCCGGTGGGCCTGGAACTTGATATGTAGACCAGGCTGGCCTTGAATCACAGGGATCTGTCCCAAACATTTTAGGGTTACCTCTTCATAGGGGGGAATGTTAGAGTAGCCAAAAGCCCCATTAAAAAAACAAATATATCAAAGAAGAAGAGTACATGACATTATCAGAAAAAAGTGATAGGGAGATATGGGAGGTGTTGGAGGGGAGGGAGTGGGCATGGATTTGATCAAAACCTTATATGCATGTATGAAATTCTCAATAAATTTTTTATTCAAAGAAAAATTCAGTTGTTGGACTCCTACAACCTGAGCAAATTCAACCTCCCATGCCCCACATCCTCTTCTCTTTCTAGCCTTGGGCACAGGTTTCTTCTGCTTTTAGCACCCCAGGTCTCTGGACTACCCTCTCAGTATAGATTCACCCACTGCCTCCTGATCCCCTGCATCCAGACCAGTTCAGTCCTTCACTCTAGTTTCTTTTTTAAAAAATATTTTATTAGCTGGGCACGGTGGCGCACACCTTTAATCCCAGCACTTGGGAGGCAGAGGCAGGCAGATCTCTGTGAGCCAGCCTGGTCTACATAGTGAGTTCCAGGACAGCTGGGGCTACAGGGAGACCCTGTCTCAAAAAGACCAATATATATATATATATTTTTTTAAATTTATTATTTATTTTATGTGCATGAGTGTATTGCTTGAGTATGTAAGTGTACCCATGTCATACAAAGACTGCAGAGGCCAAAAGTGGGCATCAGATCCCCTGGAACTGGAGTTAAGGACAGTTGTTAGCGGTGCTGGGAACCAAACTCATAAACTCTGAAAGAACAGTGCTCACTTTTAACTGCTGAGCCATCTCTCCAGCCTCCTCACCTTATTTTTTGAGACAGAATCTCACTGAACCAGGAGCTCACCAATTCTGGCTAGAGTATCTGGCTAGTGAGCTCTGCCCCTGACCCTGGCTTGACCTCCCCAGTGCTGGGGTTAAGCGAGGCAAGCAACAATGC